ATTACGCCTCGTTTGGCTTTCATGTTTCATTAATCTTGAGGGAATAAAAGGTTTCTTAGGCATTTTTAGAAATTAAAATAATTTTATATATTTAAATTGACTAAAAAATCGTAAAGATTTATAAGTATCAATACTTTTGCTTAGTGTGTCTTTTAAAAATTATAAGTAATATAATTATTAAGGTTATAAAAAGTGTAAAATGTATATTAGTTATAAACTATTCTTTGTTTTAACATTAACTTCTCATTTTAAAAAAAATTTAGAATTGCGAAATTTTAACTTTAAATTTATGTGGGATGTTTTTTTTATGGTTATTTAAATGTTTCTCCATATTTAATTTGATATAAAAACATATCGTTTATCCTAAGATATTTAATGAATAGGATAACTTTTTTTATCAGTTTCTTATTCTTCAAACAACCTTTTGTTATCTACAATTTATGATATTTATTAATAAATTTATGATATCATAAATGAATGTTATTAAACAAGTAATATTTTGTAAAGTAACAAATTAGGGTATCCTTTTTTGTGTTAACAATGAAAAAGGCGCCAATAATATGTTTAACTATAATGTCTATATTATAATATTCGAAATTATCCTTTTTTGTTTTAATTTTCAAAGTATTTTTGGTTATATTTTGCAATGGCTTCGTCTAGTTCAACTTTTGATGATCGAAGCCTTGAGTTACAAACTTTTAAATATGTTCTGATCGAGTTCCGTGAGGATAATTTTGCACTAACCATAGTGTCTTCTTGTTGGATTTTTTTTGCAAGGAAATTTCTATTTATAATTGTTATTGGCTGGGTAGTGTAAATGCAAATCAATTTGCAAAAAAAAGTATTGATCCGTTGCCTAGTTGGAAGATCTGGAATTGCAACATAAAACGATTTTTTAGTAAGCAGATTGTACTTATTATAGAAATTATAACCTGATTCAGCACGTTTAATCCTTATATTTGGCCAACTTGATGATTAAGTAGTAGGCTACCTAGCCTATTAGACTTCTTGAGCTTAGGAACTTAAATGTTTTGTTTAGTTATTTATGTTTATGTGTGATATACTTATATAAAATAATTGTATGCTGTAGAATAGTAATATAAATTTTTTTCTGTATTTTTTTTAAAAGAAACATTTGAAGAAGGTAATACAGCATTGAGCAACTACACCTCAGATGAGTCTCACATAAAACCTAATAAACGTTTAATAGTTCCCAATAAACGTTTATTAAGTTCTGATGATGAACAGGTTTTTAAAAAGATAAAAAATACAAATGCATTTTCAATGCCAGATATGCCAACATATGAATCTTGTAAGTTGTGGATAATATTACTTCAAATTAAATATAAAAATTATAATTTTTTCATTTAGAACCTTTTATTTATTTTAGTTGATAATGAAGAAAATTTGCATCTGAATTTAGATTCAATAGCATTAAAAGACTGTTCCAATAATCAAGAAAATCAATTATAGGTAAAATGGTCAATGGTNTAATTCAATTATAGGTAATTTATTATAATATTTTACTTATATTGTTCAATTTTACTTGAACTTTGGTGTGTTGCTTGTTCAATTTTAATTATAAAAACTTAAGTAAAAATAATGATGTTTCTAAATAATGTTGTTAATGTTTAATATACCTTCTAAATTAAAAACTGGTTTACTATTAAAATAAAACTATCTTTGAATTTAATTTTTTTGAAGTTTAATTTTTGGACAATTGTATAATCAATTTAAATACATTGCCCTTCAAAGTTTTTATAACTGTTATTAATAAATGATTTTCACTTTTTAAAAATATTTTATACTTCTTACATTATTCTTATAGTTTGAAAATAAAAATATGGCAATAGCTACAAACTAATTTTCTCTTTAAATGTGTTACTAAAAAGATTGCTCTAAATTTACCCTAGAAAAAGTAACACAGTTTGCTTTGATGTTAATTCTTGTTAATAATTCTATTATTTTTACAGTTATTTCACAAGTCAATACTGAAAATACTCATCCACCTGTTTTTCAGTCAGATAACAAGGTGATAGACATAGGTGGTAGCCAAAATAATGAATATCATCAGATCTTTCACTTTTTTAAAGAAAGTAATTAATTTACTTCAATAATTTTATGAAAAATAATCAATACAATATTTTTTTATATTATAATAAATAGTAATTAAAAAAAATATATTATACATAGTTTCAGAGCAGTATCAAAGTATACAACGAACACTTGATGTTATAAAAATTGACATCCAAGACTTGCAAAGACAAATAGAATATCAAGGAGTTAATAAGAGGTCTTCTGAAAGTTCATTAGTAGAAGAAAATTTAATTTTACCCTTTAGTACGTTAGATGAATTAAATGACTATGAATCAAAACTAACAGATAACAATATTTATGAAAAAGCAATGGTATTTTTTTTATTGATTGTACATTTATTTTTCAATATAATATTCTATAAGATATAATTTTTTAATTTCAGAAAAGAACTTTACTTAAAGTCGGTTCTAGCAAGTTAAATTCAAAAACTACCTACAATGTGTTGCGAAAGGTAATGACAAATGAAATAGCTGAAACATTCAATGTAACTGGAAAAGGACTAAAACTATCTTTTAATAATTACAAAATGTCAAAATTAATTCAAGGTAACCAACATTTTATTTTTAAATTAAATTATGAAAACTTTTAAAAACTTCCTAATTAATCCTAAAACACTTATTTCTTAGATTTGAAAAACCTGTGTTTTATATTTATATTGTGCTATTATATCCAATTAAAGACAATATCCTTAATAATTTTTAGTCCAGCAAATGTAACCAACATTACAATACATAAAGTAGGTATTTAGCACAAGGGACTACACATACACTAGTACAAACTAAACCCACTAAAAAATGTCTACTGCTCAACATGTTTTAAGTATATTGAGCCCTACTGTAATACACTATATAATCACACTAATTATGTTATCCACGCTATCAAATTTTGAAATTAAAAACTTTTATTTTACGGTAAAAATTAACTTTCTATTTCTATTAGTTTCAAAATTCCATTTGTTAAACAAATAATAAAAAACAATGAAAGAGATTGATGAAATCACCTCCCCACATAAATAATGTATGCTTTTATCAATGTAATCAAGTATAAATTTTTTTTAGTTTTCGGTAGTTTACACAGTTTTATTTAATCGGAAGCTAAATTTCTAGGACCTCACATTTTTTTTTTC